TCAGCTAAACTGTCTTAACTGAAACCCTCTTTGTGTACAAAAGAAAAGGCGGCCCTGGGAACAAGCAGTATTACAAATAAAATATCAAAAATTATTTTTCTCATAATACTGCAAGAACATGCAGACTTACTTAAAGGTTTGACAGTTGTTGATGACTGCAATCATATATTGAACATAGCATTGAGGATACTGACGATTTTTAAGGTGCTCTTCTTTATACAACTGTGCTTCATCTTTGTACCTGTAACATATACAAGGAATGGCATTAAACACAGACATCTGTAATCACTTAAGTACACCCGTACGACCAAATCCTCCACAAGGGCCTGTTGGGTTTTTAAAAGTATTTTATAAAGCCTTGTTCCTCATGTGACGTTTAATCTCTCTCTTCTGGGCAGAATTTAACTAAGGAGGTGCTTTCTGTCTTCCCTATGAGAAAGGGATATACATTTGAGATATAAAAGAAAGCAGAAACTGACTCAAAAAATTAGAGCCATTTGCAGAGAGGAACTGAAAGTGCCACTCACCAGCACAGAACAACTTCTGCAGTGAAACTGGAGAAAGGAGGAAGAAAGCAAGAAAAGGAAAGGGAAGAAAAGCGTGGTTGGCATGGATGTGACAGGAAAAAGACAAAGCAATAAAGAAACATCCATAGGAAAAACAAATATCGGAATTGTAGGAACAAAGAGAGGCTGAGGCAGGATAAAGCATTTATATTTTAAAATTATGTTACCTGGTTAGAAATGAATTCATTTGTTGAAGACACAGAAGGAGTACCTTTGTTTTCAAATCTTCATTTATCTGAGCAGCCACCTGAAGATTCTGCTCAAACATCTAAGTTAAAAATAGTTTAGTTATAAAGAGAGGCCCTTACCAGTGGTAAACCAAAGACAGAACTCCTATCTTTTTGGAGGCTCTCACTATCACCAGCTCTACATATGCTTTTTAGTTTGTGTGGGGTTTTGTTTTTTGGGTTGTTTTTGTTTGTTTGTTTTTTAAACAAGCCAAGACAATTGCTGCTGACTAAACCAAAAATCACTATTTCTAGAAGTGTAATTAGTAAATTACTGACAACTATTAATGCATGCTGCAGTTTTCTCCTAATACTGAAAACAGTTGCAGTCTTTCCTCAGCAAAAAAGTACTTAATATTTCTAATTCAGTAGGAATTTGGCTTTGGATCGAAGTTCTTGGGTCATCTCCTGCAGCTAGTAAAGAATAACCTTATAACTCCAATTCCTTTGCTTCCCTAATATATGAAAGTAGTTAAAGTTCACATTAGTGAAGTAGAAGGGACCCGTAAACTTTAGGAACACAACTAGGCACAAGATCTAGGTGACTTACAGGGAACTGGGAGAGGAAGGGGACTGGAAAGGAAGGGTACAAAGCCAGGTGGAAACATGAGCTACTTCTATGCTGAGATGATTTTGAAAGTTTCACTATTAAGTGAAAACACTGCAGCCTTTGATAGCGCAACACCAATCAGCCACGAGTTTCTTTGACTTGACACACTTTCTGAAAAGGATTAGATGAAGTCAACCTCGGCACTAATACAAATGTGAAAGAATGTAGCAAAATCCTGGTGTAAGACAAGAAAAAAAATAAAGTGGGAAACAAATGCAGGAAGAAGAGACCATCTATCTTTCATTGCAGGTACGTAACGTAGTATTTGTAATAAAAAATTAAAAAATGAGCATAATAAGCTGATATTTTTCTGGTTGATAAAAATCACTTTAAAACCTTTCCGTTTCTACTTCCAGTAACAGGATGGTGTACGTTGGGCTTTTTTTTTTCATGTCTTCAAAATAGCCTTGTTTTCTGTTTTGTTGAAACAGAAACATTTTTGATCTTCAACAGAACTTTTCTTTCCAGAATAAAGGTGTTTGTAGGAACAAATACATGCCTAACTACCTCAGCACCACATTAACAAGCAATATTCTAAGAACTTACAAGCACCTCATCTAGTAATCAAATTTAGGTGAAGACCCCTAAGTAAAAGCAGTTAACTATGTAAAAATATCAACTAAATAGTCTGGGAAAAATATGTTTCTAATCTACACATAAAAAGAACTAAGTATCTATGTGTTAAAGTGAAAAAGGCAAATAAAAACCTCAAAAGAAACAACCCCTCCAACTAACAACTCTACAGGAAAAAAACCTATACTTTATTAATAGACATAGAAACAATGGCATCCCAAACAGTTTTCCCCCCATGCCCCACCCCTCCATTCCTCCAAATCCATTTACTGCTTCTGCAAGTTTTCTAGAATAACCAAGTTCTCTTTATACCTGAAAAACAATAGCTGGGAGCGTAGTCTGGTAGTACCCATCTTGATCTGCTTCTGGTTCAGTTTCTTTTATCCAGTCTTTTTTATCCGTCTCCAGTGCTTTTCGTAGCCAGCCAATGATGTTAGACTACATTAAATAAAGCAACCAAGAAGAAGAAAATTTTTTAATTTAACACAACGAAAAACTCCACTACAATACTTGGAATAGCAGCCATTTCCATCATAAAGAGTGGTGTAGTAAGAGATAATGTTGACAATTCTTGTAATCCCTACAGGATATAGGTAAACATAAACAAATTAAAATTTGCATTGACAAAGTTAGTACTGGTAGACTAGTGATGTAGTTTGAGTTGAGCTTAGGCATGTTTTGGAAGGTGAGCGCTCCAAACACAGAGAGTAAGTCAGTTTATCAGAATCAACATGTTTACTAACTTTGGATACATTTATTAAGTCTCAGGCTTTAGGTTTCACACTGAATTTTTCAACAACTGAAAAAATTAAGATAACACTTAATATAGGAAAATTAGCAGGTATCTGCTTGTAGTTCCCTCTACCTACATTTTAGGAAACCGACGCTTGTTGTTACCACTGGGAACAAAACCCCGGATTAGATTAAATGAGTGGTGTTTCTTGGAACTTAAGTGCTGTAGAAAATAGTGATGGAGATACAACAGTTGGCTCTGCTCCCATCCGACAAGCACATTATACAGCAGACATTAAGAACAACTGGGTTTAGAACTAGATTAAGCCAGTTTTCTGATCACTTGCATAATACATATATCGTGGACATATTTGCAAGAGTAGGCAGTAAAGACCACCATGTTTGCTAAATATGTAATTGGATTCTTTGATTCCTGTCTACCTAAAACAATTATCCCAATGTTTTCAAAGGGCTGAAGGTTTCTGCCTCTCTTCTACTTTGTTCATATTGAGTAAAAACCCCTGGTACTATAAAGGTTCATACTTCTTTCAACATGTAACACGTATATTAGCATGCCCTACCATATAAAATTAAACATGACCAGTAGGCATGTACAGAAAGGGCAAAAAAAGTCCAAAATAGGTGTGTGTATATGTATTTTTTTAGTGTTTACATTAAAATGTATTAAATCAGTATCTTTTGGTCAAAACCCTTATCAGCAGATAGGATAAAGGAAGAAACTGAAAGCTCTACAATCTTTCTGCACACAAAAGGCTGTTGACCAAAGACAGACCTGTAGTTTTCTTTTCATTTTGACCACAGTGAGTGACCTGTCCAGTGCTGTGTCTGCTAAGTACATATAGGACCATCTTCAATTACATGAAATGATGTACTATCTTTTTTTCCTCAGAAGCCTGGAACTGCTCTGATGTGATATAATTTGCAAAGAAGAATTAATCTTTTAAGCCAGCAGCCCAGGGGACATAAACATTTTTCACCTAAAGATCATAATTTACAAGAACTTTTTTCAAGCTGAGGTGCTTGGGGGAAAAAAAAAAAAAATCTATTAGAAATACGTTAAAATCTATTAACTTTTTATTTCTATAAAAATGGAAAGTCTTTATTGACTTAAACATGAATATTTAAGTTGGTAGTCACAATTAGGAAATACTTTCATTTACCCAAACAGAACTAGTTATATTTTGTTTATAAACAATTTTAAACACAACATCAAAGAAATAAAGTAAAAGTGTAAGTGGGGACGTATAGAAAATTAGATCAGGCTGAATCCTGTGAAACAAATAGGCACTTTCAGTATTTTATGCCTTAAAAAGAAGATACAGCCAAAAATAAAAACCAGCAAAAGAAAACCACTGTGTTTAACAGAACAGCACCTTTGCTTTATTTTATGTATAAAACATAAATACGACGCTATATTTTTTTTTTTTCAGTAAGTAGGGGAAAAAACATTTCTGAGAAACCAATATAGATTTTTTTTTTATCTTAAAGAGAGGGCAAAATTAATTCAAAGGCATTTCAGGAGTCAAGCCAAAAGTAGCTTGAGAAAACAAACCAATGGGGTTTTGTCCTAAGGGTAAGTGCAGAAAAATAAACTTGCATAAAAGTCCTAGTAAAGCTAATGTGAAGCAGACCCTCTAGTGGCAACTTCCTTGAAACATAACAATATCAGTTCATATTGCGAATAGTATCAAGTCCAAGTAGTTGCTGTTTCTGGACATATTTTAGTAGCTGACACATCCAAAGAAGCAAAAAATTTCCCTCCTCTCTTGGCAGAGCTCCTAAACTTAGGAGGAGTAGGAATTCAATTGAACAATGTAAAAACAGCAACTCCAAAGTTCCAACTATCCCAATATCCAGGGACCAAGCTGCATTCAGTGGCTTGTAAGTATAGTAATACCTAACATACTAGCACTATGAATTTAGACATATGAACACTGGAATTCCTTAATTTCTAATAAAATATGATTAACACAGTCTGTAAAGCATTTCAACATTCATTGAAATGTCATGATTTACATCTATAAAATAACCTGATTATAACTTCATACACAAACCTACACATAGTATATGAAAAGTAATGATGTTGAGTTCACATTTGTCACATTAGTTTCCTCTGATGGAGGAACAGCACTGAGGCACTAATGCAGCTACAAACTTGTACAAAAGTGTCTTTGCATTATTGTTACTCACAGTAAGTGTTGACATATACTTGCTGAGAAGCTGGTCTACCACGTTTTGAGAAATCAGAGGATTCAGAGAATTTACATCCACCTCTGGAGACAGTTCTGAATTTCCCATCATCTCTGTACTATGTTTAAAAAAAAAAAAAAAGGCATTGCAGATTAGTAAAGAAAAATGACATAAAAAGTACTATGCAGCTTTTTTGTATGACCACTGTAAGGGGCAATTTTCCAGTGTCTATACATTTCAAAAAGTTTTTAATAGTAACTGCAACAACAAATGCATTTATAAGGAATGTAAATAAAACTATATAAAAGAAAGAACAGGATGTAAAAACTACAGCCCAGCATATGTTAAAAAAAATGTTACAGACAATTTAAATATTCAAGCCTTTCATGTATAAGAATTAGCTGTTGCTTAAGACTGAATAAAAGTCAACTGGCTCAACCTGCAGGCTCTTAATAGAGGACATTTTTATGTGTCTTTCAAATTCAGAGGTGATGACAAACAACTTACACATTATGAATTTCAGAATGGGAAAGATCAGTGAAAAGTACAAAATACTCTCAGTGTTTCTCAGAAGAGCTGCTGTTTTGCCACTTGTTTCACAGAAACATCTAGTAAGAAACTAGAGCAACCCTCAAAAATATTTTGACAAGAATTATATACAATTACTAATTTACAGTGATGTTTTGCATCTATATAAGATTATATGAGTTGTTTAACTAAAACAAAAAACCAAAGCTATGCCAAAGCACAACATACCAAGAACTCTTAATATTTCATGCTCAAAGAATCAATAACTCAAAACCACACTCTTCAGAGAGTGCTTTATTAACAGTTGATGGAAATATATTCAATCATAATAACATGAATTGTTTCACATTCCATTTCTAGTGTGCTTTTCAGAAGGAAGCCACAAATTCTGTATCTGTAGTGGCAACTACAAAAACCAGATAGCAAATAAAAAGAATTGCTAAACAAGTGTAAACACTGGTATACTTCTGCAAGTTAAAAGTTGTTCTCTGGGTACATACAGTGAGTCAGCATAGTGGTGCTTCCACATCATGAAAAAAATAAAAAAAAAAAAATCAAAAAAAAAAAAAAATCGCAAAGCATTACAAAAAACCCCAACAAAACAAAACAAAAAACCCAAACACCAGACCCCACACTATGGCTAACAGAAACCAAAATTCTTGTCTTTGAAACCGTAAAAGCTACTATAACTGAACACATTACACTTGTAGCATCTTCCTGAGCCTGTAGGAAAATAGATTGAAGATATTTTAAGTTGCTCAAGCTATCAAGAAAACTGAATTCCATTCTGTTGCTGTTTACATATAGAATACACGTAATAGCAGGACCTGCTCTAGGCTTACTCAGTGGAAGTGTAACTGTTTATGACACTGTGCCATATTCGAAAATATTTCTAGCCTCATTATACCATCATTATCCCTACTTCACAAGGCCAGAGACATTAAATCTTGCTCAAAGCTTATCAACTGAAACCCCAAAACAAAGACCACAGGGTTCTCTAGCCCCCAAAGACAAAAATTCTTTCTATACACAAATTCTCTTTCCTGACTGCCACAACCTGAGTGTCTGGGGGAAACAAAGTGATAGACAACCCTCTTAGAAGTGTCAGGTGGCTTCTGCCTGTAGGAAAGAGTTATTTCCCTTCAACAAAGAGTTTATAATCAAGTCAAAATTTCAACCAGAATTGTATTATCTGGAAACTAACATTTTAGAAAGCTGCTGTTTTGCCTCCTATGCCATCAATCCTGCTCTGTCTTGTAAAAAGAGGTACTTGATCCAGAGACAGCATACAGCTAGATGTATAGTACCATTCCTTCTGTTCCTCAGAGTGAAGATTGTTGACGCTGTCTGTAGCAATAATGGTGAACTCTTAGCAGTTTTGTCAAAACCTGATCAGTATCTGATAAAATGATGTCATGAATACGGGCATTGGGATCTTACACGACTTACATTTTCCCTAAAAAACGGATGAGAGTCCTGGTCCCAACCTGGTACAGATTTAGTAACAGCAGTATATTTCCAAAGCTCTCTCTGACTTAAATAGGAAAGAGAAATACATCCAGCACAGTAAAACTGCATCCCACTCAATTAAAGGCTCTTATTCCACATAGAGCATCACTTTAGTTCTCAGCTATGAGTTGAATTCAGTTCTAAAAACAGCTTCTCTCTCTGGCAAAGAACATCATGATTTGTTTAAAGCTCCTATCTTGCAAATATTGTAAACAGAAGTTATGCATGGCTTTCTTATCAATTCACTACATGGAAAAAACCCCTCGATACGTCTTTTAATTGGTCAGTATTTTCTCGGCTGGTTTTGAAGTGCAGCTGTAATATGCAAATAGAAATGTATATGTTCCCTCTAATACTTGATTACATTTAATAAAAGCAGAAAAAGATTAGAAAGGACAAAACTATCTTCCACCATACAGTGTTCCACAGAAGTGAAGGAGGAACGTAACAGCAGTTTAGAACCTATTTTTCATACAGGGAAAAGAGGGTGAAATACCACAGAAACACAGTTCTCATGATGTCATGTAGGCCATTCTCCTGCAAAGTTTATTATAAACATATCCCTATAGAGAATTGTTTATTGTATTGTTAAGAGATGTCCAGCAACTGAGATTTGGTAAGCTCTGCAACTATCCTGCTTGAGCATTTTACTTTTCCCCACTCACAAGCCTGAGCTGATTTCTTCTTCCACGGTCCACTACAAACATTCACAGCAGCTAATTGTCATCCTCTTTATAACAGTTTATTGTAATCTGTAAGAATACAAGTACTGTACTGCCCTCTTAGGCTTTTTTTTTTTTTTGGAGAAGAGAGAAACTCAAAGCCTTAATTTTTTTCCTTAGATATTTCCTCTAATTTCCATCACACTTGTTACACAGATACACTGGGGAGAAGCGCGCTCTCTGGTATCTTGTACCATGTCTACTCCTCTTGCTATTTCACTTCCTTTAACAGATTCTGCCATCAGGTGCCACAAACCACGTAACTTGCTTTAGCAGGAGTGGCCCTTTTTTGATTTGGTTGCTTTGTAAATAGATTCAATGCTGGCTTTGCTCCCTCCCTTTGCCCTTCCTATGACGAAATGCATGGATTGAAAGAGCTTTAGTTCTGAATTGTCTAACTCAGCAGCAATCTGCTCTACATTCTGGGGGAAGGGTAGAAGGGCAGTTTTAAGAGCAAGAATTGCCTTACTGAAATATAAGCCCCTGGACATAAGTGAAGAACCTAGGGGCAGGATTTCTGCCAAGGCTATACCCCTAAAGGTAGAGGATTCTATACCCTGGGCTGCATCAGGAGAAGCGTGGCCAGCAGGTCAAGGGAGGTGATTCTGCCCCTCTACTCTGCTCTGGTGAGGCCTCACCTGGAGTACTGCATCCAGCTCTGGGGCCCTCAGCACAAGAAGGACATGGAACTGTTGGAGCGGGTCCAGAGGAGGGCCACAAAAATGATCCGAGGGCTGGAACACCTCTCCCATGAGGACAGGCTGAGAGAGTTGGGCTTGTTCAGCCTGGAGAAGAGAAGGCTGCGGGGAGACCTGATTGCGGCCTTTCAGTACCTAAAGAGGGCCTATAGGAAAGACGGGGACAATCTTTTTAGTAGGGCCAGCTGTGACAGGACAAGGGGTAATGGTTTTAAACCAAAACAGGGTAGGTTTAGACTGGATATAAGGAAGAAATTCTTTACAATGAGAGTGGTGAACCACTGGAACAGGTTGCCCAGAGAGGTAGTGGAGGCCCCATCCCTGGAAAGGATTTGGGTTGGATGGGGCTCTGAGCAACCTGATCTAGTTAGCGGTGTCCCTGCTCACTGCAGGGGGGTTGGACTAGAAGACCTCTAGGGGTCCCTTCCAACCCCAAACATTCTATGATTCTATTTCTGATTTTCATTTGTTGTGGAGTTATTCCTGTAGCCTTCTATTAACAAGGAAAAGGCCAATGAACTCGGGTCCTTACTAGTAGCTGCATCTCTCATATAACAAGATCTAAGTATGCATTGGTGGGTGCTCCTGATTATTCCTTACAGGGAAGAAAAGCAGAACTTCACAGTGTAGAGCAAAGCACAGAGTTCTGAACAAAATGAATCTTATAGCTGGTTATAAGAATTCTACAGAGCAGCATTATCTCCTACCTGTTTGCTTTTTGGTATTACACTCTAAACCTATCAAGCATTCAATCTGTTGAATTAATGAGGTTGAACAATTGAAGACTGCAAAAGTGTACACAGCACAGACTCTGGGTCAATGCCAGCTATTGAGAACAGGATTACAGTCATGACCCACAGAAAGGCTAGCATTACTTTTTCCCAAACAAATCAGTTGCTCTAGTAACTACATGCCAACTAAACAGTTGCCATTTGAGCTGTTTCTACCTAGAGGTAGGGAAAAAAACCCCAACCAAAAAAACCCCAACATAATGCCTATGTTATCCCAACAAATCACACAACTCAAAAGAAAAGAGTTTAAGAGTATCACAGATGTGAGCAGAAATTCTTCTAAATAAACAAATCACCACACAGTTCTGAGAGAAAACCTGAAGGAAGTTACTACATTCTTTCCATTTAGCAGTAATGAAGCAACACTGAAACAGTCCCAACCCCTGTAAAAAAGAACAATAGAAAGTTAATAATCATACAAAGCTTCTGGGGCTGTAGCCAACAGTATTTTGTTTCACACACATGAGCTCTCAGTCTCTTCTGCTCTTCCCAATTCTTCAGACTGGCACACAAATACAAGGTGACTGTAGCTTCAAAGCAGGTCTTTAACTGCATTAAAACTTTAAGCTTACAAAGCAACTCAAAATCACATATTAGAAAATGCAAACAAGTTTTAAGGAGCAATTTCCAGAAAGCAAAATGCATAAAATGCAGGAAGTTCTTCACTATTATCCCTCTTCTGTTTTACCTTCTTATGTGTGTTAATACACATGCAAATATCAGCACATAGACTGTGTTTTGCATGCTTACTCTCAACTACTGCTAACAGAAAAGATAAGGGGACCTTACCTTTTGTATGTATTTAAAACCCAACTTAGAAGGCTAACAATCTCATTTGCTTCCAGATCCTCTGCAGCAAGCTCTTGCATGCGGGTAGACAAAGCTTGATGGTACATGTTTAGCAATTTGTTGAAAATGTCATAATGTGGAGGAAAACATTGATCCAGTAGGGTTTTAGCCACAAGCAGGTCATCAAGGACGTATTTACGTATGATTTCTAGATGGCGCACAAGCCACATTTTGTCAGATTCTCTAGTATCTGCTTGAGTGCCCTCAATTCGTGTGCTCACAGTTCTTTCCAAAATGTTGAACATTTTTTCTTTCCACTTCTTTGGTCTGCCAGGAGGTATAAACCCAGTTTGTTTTTTCCGGTCTAACATGCGCCTGTCAATTTTCTCCTCCCTCTCAATTATCCTAACAACAGAAACAAGCAAGGTTGGATCTCGACGAACTGTAACAAGAGATCTTTGAACCACCATCCAAAGTTGCTTTGCCAACTCCTCAGAAAGTTTCTGCATATCCCCAAAGTATGTATGGATGAGGTTCATGTCATGTGTGTTTTTGCTGTCCATGCGATACTGCTCATACATCAGGTTATCACGAGAACACTCTAAATCCATCAGTTTTCGATGAGCTTGCAGAAGCTCCCCTCGCTCAATCAGATCTTGGGTCTCCCTGACTATCTCTGGAACTGAAAGGGAAAAAAGATGAAAAAAATTAAAAAGAGTAAACCAACACAATCAAATATGAAGAATAAATACAAGACAATAAAAGCACTAGGAAACAAGCTGGAGAACAGCTGCAGTAATTATTTTGAAATAATTTAAAGGACATTATTTTGAAGTATTCAAAAATTGTTAGTAAATGCTATGTATCTTTATACATAATTAACTATAATGCTCCATTTTGATCAATGGCTAAACAAAGATCAGAGTGACAACAGAACATAATTTCCTTTCACTGCCTCCCTCCCTTAACAAAAAAAAAAAAAAAAATCCATGAAAGTCTACTATGAAAAAAATTGCAGTACTAGCTTTCTTATCTCTTATACAAAAGGCTTTTAACTTGCCTGACTAACAGTCACTTACCCTGCTTAACCTGAAGCTGCATATACCCAACAAATACTGAATCTTACCTCCTCCTTGAAGGAACAGTTTTTGCCTGACTAAGGCACAAAGGAAGAATAGGGATAATTACCTATGCTGATAAACTATTTAGAAGATGTTTGTTTCTTTATTATTTTTCAGTATTTGAGGGATACCATAGAAGAAAATTAGGATCCTGTGGGGTAAAGAACTGAAAAATCTCAGCAGAAAAACTGCTGCTGCAAAAAGGCAGCTAGTAATAAAACTGGCAGTCCCAAAAAAGGTTTGAAAAGACAGTTATACACAATTGTTAATCATGATGAAAACCACTTGGTTTATAAAACACTTGTTTTGCTCAGAGTGAAGTTATCATACTGTTTAATAATCCTGGGGGGAGATGCTTCACATTAAAAACCTCTCAGAATGCCGGAAAAGAAAAGGTTTGTCTCAATTGCATTCATCTGTGTAAAAGAAAACAACACCCTCAAAATAACTCAGCATTGGAATATATAGAATTTTGTTGTTCTTTGGTTTTTTATTGCTAGACATTGCATGTGAATACTACTCTCTTTAAGTTGCATGCTGTCTCCCAGGTTGGTACTGTAGCAGTTAGATAAGACTCTTACAGAGATAAAACAAACCTGGTATGACTGGGAAACAATCTTTCTTTGTAGGTACATTTTGTGAATTACTATGAGGAGAGAAGAGAAGAGAGAAAAGACTATTTAAATAAAATCAAAGGGGTATGATAGATTTAGCCCCCATTATAGGGATAAAATTCTTAAAGTTACTTATAAGCAGAAAAGCCCTGGCAAGGAATTTACCTGACTCAAAATGGAATGGAACATGCACCAAAAAGGCTGCATAAAAGGACAGAGGCAATCCCATTTTCTTTATCTTTACAGTATCCATTACATCACATTAATCTTATTTAACTTTGCAAACCCTCGCAGTTGTGCAAGGAAGAAGTGTCTCCCATGCATGAGTTGGTTTCTGTGATTGTGCTGCCTGATTCTGAAGCAAGGACTGTGCACAGTTGAAATTGAACTTCAGGTAGTTTATACTTACACTTGTAACATTAATGGAAATCCTTGAGGCTCCTAACTGTTGTGTGAGAAAGACTGCCTGGGAATCTTCACCTGGAGTTCTTGATGTTTTTATTTTACCTTTGCAAAAAATATTTGCTTCCTAAAATCATTTGGGACTATTTTTACCCAACAGGCCTGCCCATCTCACTGGCAATATTCCAGATCTTCCAGAATTATTTTTCTGTAAGTGCCACTTGCATATTTCAGTGTTTTAGTTATCTCTGCTACTGTTTGCCAGCAAGAAGCTTCTTTTTGATTTGTGTTTGATGAGATAGGCCAACTAGAACTTCTTACAGCACAATTTAAACTTGATATATATATTAAACTGTTACAGCTACTTCCCCGAACATGATACATATGTGATTCTTCCTTAATTCTTCATCCCCAGTAAGGTTTAAAGTTCTTGACATTACTTGATAACTTTACAGCTGTAGTACCATTTTAAAGGGCTTTCAGTATATGATAGATTATATATAGAACATTAGATTACCTGAAAAGATGTTCTTGAGATTTTCTACAGCAGCTGCCAGTTGGCTATGTTGCACTACAGCATCCTTAACATCCTTGAGGTTTTCTATGGTGTTGATGCTCTGTCTCCAGTCCTTATTGACATCTATCAGAGACTGCTGAATATCCTTTACATCATTCAGTGCATTGTGCAGTTGACTTAAACCGGTTCGTACTCCATCTAACTGAGACTGGATTGCTGCCTTAAATACAAAAAGACAAAGAACAAACTCATTAATCATTACAAGTTCCGTATTTTCAACATTTCTCAAGAATTAATTTTCATTTCAGTATCTAACATTTTCAGAGGAAAGAAAAAAAACCTGAAAAGGTAATATTAATAGCTTACTAGAAATGTGTAACTTACTCTGTGTGCACACATATTGTTTTTTTGAAGTTCTGAAGTTGTACCTAGGTCCTTTAAAACTAGGTACAACTGGTTCACCCACAAAGCTAACATAGGAGCTTAGGCAGATAGATCATCTTTACAAATCTATATTAAACCAGGATCATGGGAAGGCAGAATGAGATTTCTTTGCATTTCCTTCATAAATTCATTAAGGGGGATATCAGAAGAAAGCTGATTCAGCTTTCAACAGAATGCTTGGTATGCACAGATTCACAAGGTCTTCTACTAAAGAAATTGCAAGTTTTGACTAGCAATTGAAAATGTTCTAAGAAAAAGAATTCCAAAATGTTCTAAAAAAAACCCAAAAACCAAAAACAAAACCCAACCCTCCTGCCTGTTGTTCCTGAAAGAAAAAAAAAAAAAAGAAAAAACCCAAAAGGAATTCAGTCAGGAAAACCCCAACAAAAATGCAAACTGAATAAAATTTCGAAACTGTGAAACATCAACAATCAGACCAACGATCCAACTACTAGATTATTTTAACATAAAGACAGGTTATTGATATAGATATCTCTTGTGACAGGTGACACTTGAAATAATGACTTTTCAAACAGGCTATCAGTCGTAAGTATCATTTGACAGTCCAGGCACCTTACAGAAAATGCATTATAGCGCATATCTGAGTGAAAGAAATCAGATCACATCCATAGCATGTTTTTCATGTAAGTATTTTTAAAGAGATGTGACTAAGGTGAAATCAGGTGAGTGGAAAATGAAACTGGAAATAACAGACTTCAAAAGACAAGCAAAAGGCAAGACATCAGTGAAAACTCAGTTGTGTCATCTCAACTACCTCAAGTATCCAGTAAAGAAATAAGCCACTAGCAGTTTTTCTAAGCTCAAAACACATTTTCTGCCATATTTTTAAGGCCAAAAAGCTTGGGCAATCATGGAACTTTTTGTCTGATACTAGAAGCCAAGGAGGAAATCCTGGTAACTATGAATAACATTTATTGTGTTTTAAATGTACTGGGAAAGTCCCAGAAAAATGCAGTGATTCTTAAACTACTGCTATTTATGTACTTTCAAATTATGACATGCAGATTTTATTGATAAAAATGTATTTTCCTGTCAGACTCAGTACAATTAAGCAGTCGTAAGGCATTTTTTATGCGGTATCTATGTATAGAACTGCTGCATTAACACATTTTTCCCCTTCAGGAACTGAGGCAATTAAGATACTCAAACATTCAATGATGC